GCATCCACTTTGATGTGACATTAAAACTAATTTTTTGCTGTGTACATACTACGCTTTTCAATTTACAATATCTATTTTCATTTTGTTATTGTTGGAGCTAATATTTGTGCTTTTTATTTTTCTAAGTGAAGATGGGATTCACCAAAAATAAGACCTTCACCTTAAAACAAATAATCAGCTGCAAAAAAAATAAAGCCCCATTATGCATTGTTCATCCAAGATGTCAAAAATCCCCTAAAGAACTACTCAGGTTTCAAAGAAGAAAAAATCTGCTACGAAAAATCTAAAGCTAGAAATATCATCAGGTAAAAAATTTGAAAATCAAACGCTAAAAAATCCTCTTCGAAAAATGTTCCTATTTGCGAGATCTCTCAAATATTTTCAAAACCCATTTTCTACGCCTATGATCTTCAAATTGTTCAAAGTTTCACAAGCTTGTATTCCAATTTGACTATCTTCAAATAAGGAAAAAGTTTGTTTACGTTAGAATGAGATTGATAAAATGGGAGTGACCCCGTCGTAGTGGTTAGCATCCTAACCACTCACGCCAAAGTCACGACTTCAAATCTCACCCCCGGACAAGTCACGAATGACCCAAGAGCGTTAAATTGATTATAACTTTAAAAAATTGATTTTTTTTTTAAATTATCCAAAGACACAGAATTTTGTAAATTGATTTTACAAGGCAAATCAGACCATTTGTGGATGTTATCAACCTTGTCCTTATGGAAAGCATGTCCCTTCTCAGACAGAGATTCTGGAGCATTTTCAAGCGTTGAAAATTTATTCCAAAGAATACACTAAGTTCTGTCTTTCATTTTTAAAAATTCGGTCTAATGACCCATTCGTTCGAATAGCTTACGCTCTTATGAACTATTCGGCCTAATGGCCCTACACCGAACTTTAAATTTTGTTTTTCATTATGTTTTTGTTATGAAAGTTTTTTTCATATCAATGGCTCCCTAATTGGGCAATCCACATTTCGCTTAAGGAAAGGAGGTGGTTCGGCATAGATCTAAAAGTCAAATCTTGTTTTATTACTTTTACCGTACAGAATTCGGGTTGGAAATTTTCTCGACTTCCCTGGGCATAGAGTATCATTGTGCTTGCCACACAATATACAAATTCATGCATTGGTATTGGCATCGAAAGCTCTCAATTAATAACTGTGGAAGTGCATTTAGAACACTAAGTTGAGAGCACGCAGTAAGCTAATATGCGCTAAGCAATAAGCTTGAAATGCGAACAAGAAGAAGAAGAAGTACAGAATAAATAAATACAGAATAAACCATAGCTTAAAATATTTCTTTGATTTTTCATCATGTTTCAATTATTTGAGTTTAATATAGACTAGCCTTAGTTACCCATTTATTTGTTTGATGTTTGTTCTCTTGTTTTCTCGCTAAGTGTTAAACAATAATTTCTTAGTAGTAAATAATAAATTTTGTCTGAGATTCGGCCTGTTGACCGTTTGGCTTAGTGACCATTCGGCCTTATGCCCATTCGGTCTTATAACCTTCAGCCTAATGACCCAGCATCGCATTTAATAATGGATCATATCATTCGAACAGTTTAAATTACATTTCTGACGATTCGATCACTATCACGAGCAATATTATGAGATATTTTGTTCTAAATAGAACGTCCACAAAAAAGGGTTTCATTTATGATAGGCCTAGTAAATCTGAAATGTATTGCTTCATTATCTTAAAAACCCTGGTACTCCAAATCTGTTCGACTATGTGATTGATTAAAACCCACACTAAACTGACACTTCCTGTTCTACATGCTCCATTGAATTTATGTCAACAATTCTCACTAATTCCGGTATTTTTTTCAAATAAATCTCATCAAATGAACTTTCGCTAAAAAAAATTCTTTCGTATAAAAACCTATTTTTCTCTTGCATCATCTCAAAACACACTCAGACTCATTAAATCATTTAATCTCCTCATTATGATCGATTTATCATAGTTTCTTAGTTTTACGACTAAGAAAGTTCCAAATTGGCGATACAATATACTCAATATGCTCATATACCATTATATTTTAGAATTACAACAAATTATGTTATAAACTAATACCCTCTGTTCACGTCTATGTAGCGATGATGATTCAGACGAGTGAAGAAAGCGAGTGTGAGTGGGATCAGTTTTATTTTTTAAATCAGTTGAATTGTACACTTCAACAAAAAGCGTTACTTTATTATCTTGCATCTACCAAGTTTCTCAGACGTCTGGGTTTGAATGCAGGCTGCAGCCCTTCTGGTCAGATCTGGTAAATATCAAAACCGTCATGTGACAATGAGAAAACAGGTCCTCTCACTATCATGAGACGAAACTCTACCTATCATGAGCTTACTTGTCGTTTCTCAATGATGAAGCACTCATGAGAATAATTCTCATACGCTTTTAACATCAAAGTTTCTAACTGATTTAGATGAATTTAGGCAAACAACAGTATGTAATCAGCAGAATGAACATATTTTTAAGATATAATTTAAATGAGCTAGTAATTGCGATGTTCACAACACTGTCACGTTCTGTCATGACAGAAAATATCGATGAGGTTGTGGATAAAATCTCTATAAAAATCGCGTGAGATCTTTCATGGTAAATTTACCACATCTACCAGCCCTGCTTCTGTTTTAATCTTGAAGAAGGAACCCGAATGAGAACGCTGGCGATATAAAAATAGAAACAAACACATTTTACTCAAAATTGTATTAAAAAGCTCATTTATTACCCTATTTTGTAACAAACTCTTTAGAAATATCGTATTGCCCTAACAATAGTCGTTATAATGTTCATACTAGGCAGCAGAGTTTTTGTTATTTTAACTAAATCCGGAAGCTAAAAAATCTGTGGAACAAAATAACGTAAGATACAGATGCAATAATTACGGAGATGAACTAGATTCTTGGTCGGGTTATGCTTATTTCGTTTTCAAAATTTTGTTGGCGTCGAAACGTTTTTTTTTTTCCAAAGAAATGTTAAAGACCCTTAACCTACGTTCTAAACTTATAGAAATTCCTGATCGATTGGTTGCTGTTTAACCAAAGATGGTCAAGAACTGACGAAATGAGAGCAATATTTTTTTCTCCCCGAGACACTTGGGTACGTATGGGTTAACGAGCTTAATTTCTAAATATTAATTCGAACGAATTTAAAGTTTGCACCAACATTATTCCTTTCCATGGTTCCTATCGCAAGGAAAGTGAAGAACATTATTGAAACATACCTAAAATTAAGTTAATCTTTAGTAGTCATGTGCTTTCAAATCATTTTAAAGGTTTCCAAAAGTTGTATAAGGATGTCAATATGTTTAAATACAATAAATAAAATAACATATAATTGAAGAGTCGACTCAGAGAGATATAATTCAAAACTTCATCAAATACTAAACAGATTATTACTTCCACTTTATTGTGTAATATGTGTCATAAATTGATCCAAGCTAAGATTGCATCATCCAATCTTCTCTGATCTTTGGGAATTTCCTCATTCTTCTTCGGCCAAACACCGTTGCCCTCCTCTTTGTACCCAATTTGTTTGTAATCTGTTCATAGTCCAAGTTGACTAAGGCTGCGAAAAAAAAAATTAAAAAGTTGAATATTTACTGCATGCTAAGTTTTATAAAAACTTATTGATATCCATTTTTTGAAGATTGTAAAAAATAGTATGTCATAGTCATGGGAAATAAGCTCGTGTGCTGAAACAATACAGCCAATAAGTTTGTTCCAGAGTCTTTAATTACAAATTGAAATATGAATTATGTGCAAGTTACAACCGCTTCGATATGTTAAATCACAAAATTGCATAGATAATTAAATGGAAAACCATTACACAGAATGATTTTAAATAATAACCTTGTTGAAGATAATCGATCACAAAACAGCTTAGAACTTCAACTATATTATGCAATATGTGTCAAATATTAAACCATACACGGATTGCATCACCCAATACTCTCATATCCCATCACAGTAGGCCAACCACAGCTCCAAAACATTTCCCTGAGCTCTGGAAATTTCCTAATTTCCCTTCGGCCAAGCACCTTTGCTTTCCTCTTTGCCTACTTCGTTCGTAGTTTGATGTAACAAACATCAACCCAAAAACCCAAGAAGGCATAGACCGCGGTAAAATAGAAAAGGCACCGCAGCAGCAGCAGCAGCAAGTTCACCGCTGGCCATGGCTCTACACAGCGCGCAGTCGGTCACTAACCTACGTGCAGAAGTCAATAAACTGTGATTAAACAAAGTAGGAGAAACTACTACTCGTTCACACTTACGCTGAGCTCCCCTCCGGGCAGACCCCGTCGTAGCTCAACGCACGCTTCAAAACGCGTAACCTCGATTCTTTCTAGCACGACGAACGCCATCAGAACTTTAACAGTAAACAAAATAGTGTGTTGAAAAAAGCTCCGCTCGCTTATGAGGCCAGTTTCAAAACAACAACACGCCAACCAGCAATGTGATTCATTCAAGGGTATTTCCATCCGTTCACCCCGTCGTCGTTTCAGTAAGTTGGTAACATCGAAGCATTGGTAGCAAAAGCGTAGCCGTCTGTGTTAACAGCACAAAACACACTCCAACTCAGTAAGCGTCGGCGCATCTGTGACTGCCTCATTCTCGTTGTGTGTACATACTTGCGTTCTTTGCCCTCGCGGTACTACTCAACATAGTCATCATCGACATATTTTCTACTCCGCGCTTGCCTAGCGACGTGTCATCAAGCAACGCAAGTCATCCATCCATCCATCCATCCAAGCAAGCGGACCATCAGTCGGTCAATGTGCTCATTCTTTTCTTTTCCGTTGTTTCCCCCCATCCATTCTAGCCGACTGACTCGATGATATGCATTCGTCACCCCACACTATTGTACGATTCCCTTCAACAATCTCCTTGTTCTCCTCAGTGAGTACGTTTACAACTCAGAGGTCAAAACACTCGAGACCCGACGAGGGGTCATTCGATTGATTATCGTTTTGAGTATACTTACCTTGCAGCCTTCGCAGGAATGTACACCGTAGTGGAAGCCGGAAGCTTTGTCACCACACACTCGGCACAATACGGTGGTTCCGTCAAACTCTGAAAACGGAAAGAAGAGAAGAAAAATACGAAAAAGGTTAACATTTTATTGCAATTTACGCGAGTTCAAAGACCTGGTGTTAACGAGAGAGATATACTGTCGAAGGAGAGCAGAATGGAGGTACACCGAAAAACAACATCAATGGAAGTGAGTCGAAATTTAATGAGCGAGTATTTGACAGACCAGAGGCTTTCTGTTCCAAGGGGTCGTTAAACTGTGCCGTTTCTGTCCCTGCGTTTCTACTCGCTTTCCAAATACTATACTTTAAGCTGAACAAAAAAAGACTTATCCACGGTGTATTTTAATAGAAATATTTATCGAATGTTTCGAAACATATATTAAATATTAAAAAAAAAAACCTAACAAATTACGACCGATTACTAAACAATAATCAAGCATTGAAAAACTCGATAAAGCGGCAAACCAGCCGTGATAACGAAAGCAAAATTGAATCATTGATAAGCGATTGCACTTCCCTCGAATTACTGTGGCCAGCGGTCATTACCACTACATTTACTAGCAGTCCATGTCCCTTCCACTGACCACCCGTGCGAGGAGGCTTCTGATGCAATGCAAACTTTGTTTTACTTATCAGCTTCGCTTCGTGGAGGGAATCCTGAAAGTAAAACTCGTCGCTGCCATAGTGATTGAACCGCTTACTACGATCGAGGATGATCCACCGACAGCAGCGCGGTCATTCACTCGCCTATTCGACACAGAGAGCGAGAGAGCCTAGGTAGCAGCCGATTAAAACGGTGAAAGTTAAAAAAAAAATCGAAAAGAAAGTGGAGAAATTTTCTTTCAACCCCCGGTGCATCCGTGGCTCGCTCCTTCAACAAATTCCCCAGTGGGCCCGGTTTTGTTTTTGTACGATTCTTCTCTCTCCTAGCTTCATCGAATTTTCCTTTGGACTATTCCACATCTACGGACTGAAGCTAAGGCAACCCGCGTCAAAGAATCATAGTTTTCCGATGCTGTCTTTGCTTTCAACTTTCTTCTCTCAATCTACCTCGCTCCCCCTTCAATCCATCGCATCGGTTACTATTTTTGTATATTTTATATAATCATCATCCCATTCTGCTTTGGATGCTTTCTTAAGGTTATACAACATTATATAACTGAGAGCCATCAATAAACAACTTTCTCCTGTTTCGGAAATTCTTCTTTCCTGTGCTCTTCTTTCTAGTTTGCTTTTCTCTCGCTCTCACCGCGAGACGATTGCTCGCCGGGGCGCTAATTGAGTGATAAATCATGGCCAACTTGTTCGGTTCGGTTTGGGTTTTCCTCTTGCTCTCTTTCGCTCATCATCACTCGCAGATGCCAACAGACAGACAGACAGACAGACAGACAGATCATTCCTAGTTGAGCACTCAGTCGGTTAACAACGTCCCGGTCTCAGTCGCGCGGCATCTAGTTTTTTCGGTGTTTTTTTCCGCCCGAGCGGTTTTTTTCACCCCCCATTGGGTGCCCCAAGTGACCAGTGTGCAACAGAGGAAGTGGAATTCCATGGGCCGAGCCCCTTGGAGTTGCCATCCATCTTTAACTCATCCCGGTAATCCATAACCGGAGGTAACGGCGAGCCCATCATTTCATCGTATCATCATCGTGCCGACCCACCAACACCAACCATCACCACCAGCAGCAGCAAACGGACGATCTAGCTGCACCGGCTGATAGGTTGTTTACAACCGGCATAAGTATTAGACAATACATTTTGCAAGTCCATTGCCTCCCTATTGTAGTTTAATTTTGCCTCGTGGCGCGTGACTCTGTCTCTCACCCCTGGTAGGGGAGTATGGGTCATAGTGAGACAACTTTTTGCAAGTAGATATAAGTTTTTTTTTTTTTTTTTTTTTCGATTTTTTTTTCTTTTTGATTTGTTCGTACGTCGGGCAAAAAATTTAACTACTAGTAATTAAAATTAATTAATTAGTGAAGGTTTTAAATTTTTTTTTCCTTCTTAAGTGGTTGCGCACCGCTTTTGCGCAACACTTATGGCATCTTCCGATGCCTACGTTACGCGAACCAGATACTATGAACCGTCTTCGAAAGGACCATGGGTTGTCTTTTTTCGGCCCAAAAATAAACCTTTGAAAACTCTCGACATTACGAGAGATTTGCTGCGTAAGTATCCGGGAATCTCGGTACACAAAGAAAGATTCAACAAACTGCGTGTAGAAGCACCGACTTATGATGTGGCAAATAAAATTGCTGAACACGAGCTTTTTAGTGTTGAGTATAACATCTACATCCCTTCTCGAGATGTGGAGATAGAAGGCGTGGTCTCCGACGCGAGTCTGACTGTCGAGGACTTGAAACATGCCTCGGGAACTTTTAAAAACTCGACATTCGCTACCGCGCTAGTGAAGATACTGGATGTAAGGCAACTGCATTCAGCATCTTTGCTAGACGGTAAAAAAGTTTATAAACATTCAGACTCGTTCCGGGTGACTTTCGCAGGTTCAGTTCTCCCAAACTTTGTTAAAATTGATGGTGCTTTTTTTCCGGTGCGGCTGTTTGTACAGAGGGTATATAATTGTACCAACTGCAAAAGGCTGGGACACTCGGCCAGCCATTGCGGCAACAAAACTCGTTGTGGCAAATGTGGTGAAAACCACAAAGAGGATTCTTGCCACAAAGAATCAGTAAAATGCGCTTACTGTGGCGAGAATCCTCACCCCTTGCAGGAGTGCCCGATGTACAAACAGCACTCCGATAAAGTGCAGCGTTCAATCTCTGGACGCTCCAAGCAGACTTATGCTCAAATGGTGAAGGCTGCATCAGCCGTCCAAGATGCAAACCAATTTTCGATTTTGTCCGCTGAAGAATCGGACTCTGACTCATCCGATGAAGGTGATTCTACGGTGGTACACGCACCTTCAAAAATGGACGGATCCTCAAAAAGAAAATGCCCCTCCCCGAAAGTGCGCCGTAAGAAAACTAAAATCACCTCCAGAAGATTGCCAAATTCCCAGGGTAATGGGGATGAAAAAACAAAACCGAAGGCTCCTGCTGATCCAATCCCTGGATGCAGCAAGAATTTTCCGCCATTGCCCAACAAAGATAAAAGAAATAAAAAAGCTGCTCCTCAAACTTCTCAAAAGAAATCCAAGTCCGAACGAGGTTTGCTAGCTTTTTCGGACATTGTGGAATTCATATTAAACATGTTCAACATACAAGACCCTCTAAGAAGCTTAGTTTCTGCCTTGCTTCCAACGTTAGAATCATATCTTAAGCAATTGACTGTTTCATGGCCCCTCCTTGCATCAATCATATCTTTCGATGGATAATTTGTCGAACGAGGTTGAAGATATGATCACTGTGCTACAGTGGAACTGCCGTAGTCTAGTGCCTAAACTAGACTCGTTCAAATTTTTACTTCACAATTCTGATTGTGATATATTTGCTCTCTGTGAAACATGGCTTTCTTCCGATAAAGAACTCAACTTCCAAGATTTTAACATTATTCGCCTGGATAGAGACGATTCTTATGGAGGAGTACTTTTAGGGATCAAAAAGTGCTACCCTTTCTACAAAATTTCCCTTCCTGCTCTATCAGGCGTCGAAATCGTCGCTTGCCAAATAAATGTGAAGAACAAAGATCTTTGCATAGCTTCAGTATACGTTCCACCAAGAACCTCCATTAGCCGTAGTCAACTCTGGAATCTAGTTTCGATTCTTCCATCCCCAGTATTAATTCTGGGTGATATGAACTCCCATGGTACTGGGTGGGGCGATCTATATGACGACAATAGAGCGGCTATTTTTTACGATTTATGTGACGATTTCAATTTGACTATTTTGAACACTGGTGAAGCGACACGTATAGCAAATCCTCCGGCTCGAGAAAGCCGACTCGACCTATCTTTGTGTTCAAGATCGCTATCATTGGATTGTCAGTGGAAGGTTATCAATGATCCCCATGGTAGCGATCATTTGCCAATCATCATTTCAATTAAGTGTGGCCCTCACTCTGCAGAACCATCTCGGGTTCCATTTGATCTTACAAGGAACATCGACTGGCATAAATATGCAACGGCGGTGACAATCGGTGTCGAATCAATAGATGCGCTTCCACCATTGGAAGAATATCGATTCCTAGCCGAATTGATTTACAAAAGCTCACTGGAAGCACAAAAAAGAAAAGTTCCAAGTGCACCCTTTAAAAGGAGACCAGCCACACCTGGTTGGGACGAAGAATGCACAAAATTGTATGTAGAAAAATCTGATGCTTTCAAAGCTTTTCGTAGACACAAAACCTCCACTTACTTCGAGGAATATTCAAAGCTTGAGACAAAGCTGAAACAATTAATCAAAGCAAAAAAACGCGGTTATTGGCGCAATTTCGTCGAGGGACTCTCACGAGAAACCTCAATGAACACCTTGTGGAGGGTGGCTCGCAACATGCGTAACCGCTCATCTTTCAATGAGAGTGAAGAATACTCCAACCGATGGATATTCGATTTCGCTAAAAAGGTCTGTCCGGACTCAGTTCCAGCACAAAATATTCTTCGAGAAGCGTCTCCTAGCGGCGGCTCTCTGGATAGACCATTCACAATGCTGGATTTCTCTATGGCTCTTCTTTCATCGAACAACTCCTCACCGGGAAGCGATATGATTAAATTCAATCTTCTGAAAAATCTCCCAGATATCGCTAAAAGACGCTTACTAGATTTATTCAATTCCTTGCTAGAAAACAACATTGTACCGCCTGAATGGAGACAGGTCAAAGTAATAGCCATTAAAAAACCTGGCAAATCAGCGTCTGACCATAACTCATACCGTCCGATTGCTATGCTTTCGTGCATTAGGAAATTGTTGGAGAAAATGATCCTTCGGAGACTCGATCACTGGGTCGAATCAAATAACTTGCTATCAAATACACAGTTTGGGTTCCGCAAGAGCAAAGGAACAAACGATTGTCTAGCGCTGCTTTCCACAGATATTCAACTGGCCTTTGCACACAAGGAGCAATTGGCTTCAGTATTCTTGGACATTA